ATCAGTAGCGCCTTGCATTGATTTATTTTTATATGTATTGTAGTCCTCAAAGTGCCGTAGTTTTATTCTTGTAAGTAATTTACTTTACTCTATGTTTTATTATACTGTTAGTGTTTTCTTCATGAATAAATAAATAAATAAATAAAAACCTCCCACCTCCCCCACAGCCAACTGTTTGTGGTGCAATTATTCCTAGCAATTCTCTCAATTCTCAGCTATCCAGCAGAACAGAAATAGGTCACAGTCATGTAAAGGCCAGATAGGTTTAACCAATGGATGGCAGGCCGAGGGGTCCCATAAAAAATAATGCAAGCCAATATCATTTGTAGTCCACATCACATATAAACTATTTTTTTGGAAGCAATAAATCATATCATTTCGTGGTTTTTCTTATAGGTTAGTGATTCAGTGCTATCTTTTTAGGCAGTATAAGTCATGAAACTGGTCACGCATAATAAGGTAAAACAAAAACTTAGACATGACAAGACGAAACAAAGAATAACTAATAAGTTAATGCCTGAAGTGACCTTGTAGCCGTGGTAATAGACCTTTTAACGTACAAACAGTTTTCAATCTAAGAACTTGTACCATTACAGAGGCGCGGGTGATATATATAACAAAAGCGAGCACCATACTGGGATAAACTATGCCCGTTGTCTTGGCAATACGGACCAAGCGCAGCGAGCAGTCCCTACAAAATGAGACAAAGGGGCGATATTTTACTAGGCTAGTACTGTCTCGCAATCCCGATCAAGGTTGGTTAATAAGAAATTTAATACATGACGGGAAAAGACATAGTAAGCTTCAAGCGCACAATTCTGAATGAGATCAAAGTTTGCATTTATACTCCAATCTGATCCGTTTCGAGACAGAAGTAAAAGAATTGTAAAAATAGATATTTATTACTATGGCTCAGTTTCAAATCAAATCACCCAAATATTTATCACTTCCCTTTGGGACTACAGATATACCAGTATCTATAAAGCAAATAGAAGGGACCTTCTCTCGTCCTCTCCCAGTCATCTGTGCTCGTTAGGGGCCGATGAGCCGCGCTGCCTCAATAGGCAATTCAGTTGAGTTGCCTTTCGCCTCCATGTCAAGACGAGTCTTCGTGCAAAACCACTCACATGAAAATGTGTTCCCCCTTCAGGTTCTTTTCATGATGATGCAAATCAAACTCACCTTCATATGAAAGATTTTGCACGAGGACTCGATTTGAAATAGCGGCACAAGGTATCTCGAAGATGATTGGCTCGGCTTGCTCTTATCCTGGTATTAAATGAGCTGCGCGAGACCGGAACGAGCGGGAAGTGGTTTGCGTTGGTAAGCCGTGCTGACCCGTTGAACGTGATTACATAGGAAATTTCGAGCCCATTTGGCCGGGAATCTCGGCTCATCTAAGTCACTAAGTTGATTTTTCGTGCGTATAATATAAGTGCCGAGGTCTTGGTAAGCCGAGCCAGCCAGACCGGCTCGAGCAATCAGCCTCTGAAACAAAGCAAATATTTTGACATACTATAATCCATCAAATATTTTCGTTCGCGCACGAATGGTTTAAACGCGTTACGTGACTGAATATGCCCCAGCCAAAACTGGGGTATATCCGAGAGATATTCCCCAGTTTTTAAGACGGAGCGAGCTGCGAAAAATATTTGAAGGAAAATAAGCACAATAGCCTTCATTTGGCACGAAAATATATAGACAATAGTCTCCATTTGGTGCGAAAATATGCTCGGATATTTGTCCGCGGACATTATCTGTTCCCAGAAGCGAACTGTTTTCTGAGAGCGTAGCTCGAGGAAAACTGTGAGCTTTGAGGAACAGATAATGTCCAAGGACAAATATGTGTCCAAGGACAAATATTTGTCGTCGTAGTGTGTAGCTGTTATTGTTTCAGGGCTAGGTGCATTGTTGCTGTTGTTTGCTTTATTGTTCTCTAGAGCCATTCATGTGAGAACTTACGAGAGCTACTACATGACGCTTCTAGCCGGGGCCTATTTACAGATTAGCGTGATATCAAGAAATATCGCCCCTTTCCGGTCGTTCAACGCTGTAGTTAGGCTATTTTCCGCTTTGTCCTTGGCGACCTGATTGAAAAAATATTGATTGATTCAATAACTCTAATTTTTTATACAGTGGCACTGACAAATTAAGTTTTCGCCGAAGTAACCGATTTCAATCTAAAGATACCTGTATGCATTTTGCTGGTGATTTATTTGCTCCGATTCTGGAACAATTGGCTAATAATTACTATCTATCGCAAACTCAAGGGTAGGAAACAAGTGAATTCAAGACAATTGGTGAAAAATAAGTGCAGAGGAAAGAAGACCAGGGTAAAGAAAAATTTATTTTTACTCATGATGAGAACAAGGGAAAGGTCAATCCTATCCTTGTTTCTGAGTAAGCATTTAGAAAGGGGATGAATTCATTGTCAAAAGCTATTGCGAAGTTTATTGCCCCAATAAGTTTGAAAATCAACCAAATTCTGCCAGGGTTATGACTGAACCAACATGTTGAACTTCTTACTAATAATCCAAGTTCAGTTTTAACATTTCCTTTGCATGCATTACCTCAGCGTTGCTAGTCGCGGAACTGTAGTAAATAAATCAGGAATTGGGAAAATTGGATTTAGTGTTTATAGACCAGACCAATTTGGAAGTTATGAAAAGGAAACAAATTTCAGTTATCGCTAATTTATAGGGCTGACACGGAAATTGACAAATATATCTTGCACCACCCTTTTTTAATTTAATGCTTAAAACAAAAATTACAATCACCACGCAACCTGAGAAATTGTTAAAAAAATACGAAGCTTTGAAACCCGTATTTTATGAGGATATGGTACAGTTACGTTCACGACACTCATGAAGAATTCAGCGAATGAAACTCAAATCAAGAATGCACCGAAGTAACTGTGGGCGGCGGATGACATATAGATTGAGATGGAATATTGCGCATACAACGAGATGACGTCACCAGCCTTGAGGTAAAACACTCCTCCAGCGTACAGAGAACCTTCGCCTGTTCCTAAATTCTGTGGTTGTATCTGGGTTATGATTTTGTTGTTCACACGAACATAGACTCTTCCGGCACTGGAGCGATAGTAAAGTTGTGTGTAGATGTAATACCGTCCAGGGGTGGGCACAGTCAGTTTTCCGTCGTGGTACCTCATACCGCCTGCTAGGTGGCTGTTTGGGGCACTGACAAACCAGTCCTTTATCACTAAAAGGAAATTAAAAACAACGCGTTATTCAAAATGAAATACGTTCGCAGACACTGGTGATTGTTTACCTTGCTGTACCTTAATTTACTACTGAGAGTCTGTTTTGGCAATTATTTATTAAAAAGTTAATTCCGAAAAGGTCTCGAAGTAACAACAGACTTTTACATCCATATGACATTTCGTCAAAACATTCAACGAGAATAAAGAACATACCTGTGTTGGCTCGATAAGTCACGGTCCTCCTATTGGTAGCCTCAATGTGAGCAGAAGGTTTGTTTGGATTCTGTTTTAAACATAAAAGTCGGAGAAAGCAAATGTCAGATTAGCTGTCAATTAAATTCTTAAGACCAAACTTGTTACTGAAAAAGCACAGAATTGATGATAATTTTCACGAGGCACTAAAAACAAGATATCTGGAAATAAACAATGACTTGAAATTCAGTCAATCGATGAACGCATACCATAAAGTTCCGTTAAAAGCCCCCTACCCCGTTTATAGCCCCGGTTTTGGGCCAAGCTATCGGAATAAAAAACAATAATCCAGTTATAAGTCCACCTTCACTTCGTGTACCTCATGCACCGTCCGGTATTTGCCATCATGAGAAAGCTTCATACAACAACCTCTGTACTTCGCGTATTTGGTTCCCTATACTTGTGACTTGCGTTCCTCGTTCCCAAGAACAGAAAACACATTTTTAGTCTGCCAGATGTTGGTTTCATCAGCTTATTTCGAAACGTTTTTTTAATACCGCTTTTAAGCCCCCGCGGATAAAAACCCCGGAGCTTACTAAGCCGTAATTTTACGATAATTGTTTACCCATGTTTACCTGCAAGTTACATTTACAATTTTTTCCTGAATCTCCTTTTTGGCCTTTCTTGCCTATCTCGCCCTTCTCGCCCATCTCGCCCTTCTCGCCCTAAAAATTAATATAGTTTGAAATCAGTACCATATTTATACCGGGAGCGAGTGTCGTAAATATGACTGCTCAGTGAGCGTGGCTATAGTTTTACGTCCGAAGTAAACGGAACTACTGAAAAAATTTAAAGCTGACACTGTTACCGTACCTTCACGCCTTCTTTACCATACACATTGATGTTGACGGGTTTATACGGAGTTGCACAAACTTTCTGTGACTGAAAATAAACAAGATATGCGCAAACAGGCTAAGACTCGGGAGGAAGTATCTTGTGTTTCAATAAGAATTGTAATTCATACTGCGAGACTACTCATGTCCAGATCTTTACATTTGCTAAACAAGACTTCGACGTTGAAGCCGACTGCATCGCGCATAGACTGTTTTTGAGTATCAGCTATGTCATGGGAAAGAAAAACGAAAAACGATCAGTGTTTTCAAGGAGCGTTTATTGAATTTCTTGAACAGGAAGCTGCCGTAAGGTTTCAGGTGTCTAGACAGAAAAGATTTCACATAGTTTTTTTTCTATCAAGAAAAAAAAAAATAATTCGAAAATTCATGGATTTGGATGAACATCATGCGATCACATTAAGAATTTCGCATAAGGCTGCTTTCAACCTCGGAAGTAGTCACCTGATTACTTTCGACACTCAACTGAAAACCGCTCTATTATATTTAGAATAAAAACAGTTGGCCGTAAAAGATTGAATAGTTTTAACTGATGATAAACTCCGACACACTTTTCTGAATGTATTCAGTATGCAAAAGCGTTTTTCCTCAATCATCCCAAATTTTTAAAGCTGCATAATATGTTTTTCTGGTTGATATCAAATTCTCAACTTACTTGACCAGCTCCGGGTGTATTACCCAAGGAAAACTTGGTATAAGCCAAGAGAGCAAAAAGCAGAACGAATTTCATCTCGACAGCCATGACATAAGATCGAAGTTGAAATGATGACACATCGGACTAAATCGCATTTAAAATTACCGTTAACTGATTTATTGTATGTATAAAAGCGGGTAAAAACAAGACCTACCTTTCCTAAGAAAAAAAAAAGACAAAACAAAAGATTCCTGGCTTTTTTTTTCTGTCCTTGACGTAAAATTTACAACTAGCGGTATCTTTAATTGATACATATTTAACAACTTGAATTTGCTTTTCGTTAGATGTAAGGTTCAGTTATATTTCCTTCATCTGTAGTCCACATATAAAATAACTTTTTAAAAGCAATAAATCATAACCCTCAATCCGTAGGGTTTTTTTATCGGTTATTATTAATTCAGTGCTATCTCTTTGGGCAATATAATTCATGAAATTGGTCACACATCATAAGGTAAAAATATAAAACAAAATTCATAAACTTAGACTGACTGACAAAATGAAACAAAGAAATAAGAAGTTAATGCCTGAAGGCATCTCATAGATAATAGAGATAGACATTGTTTTGACATTTTTTTTTTT